TGCTTTCTTATACTGTGAAGACCATTTAATATGAGTGCAGGCAGAGGCGCTCCATGAGCTTTTACACTGTTCTAGATGAGGCCACCATTGAGCACTCATATTTCTTTACCTTTATGGGTTCTTTAGTTGAAATTGTGACCATCCAGTTTCATTTCTCCTTATTAAGGTCACTTTCCTGTTTTTGTTTACCATTTCAGAGAAAATGGAGTAATCATTGTGAAAGCAACAAAAGGATTTTCCTGCTTGTGTCATTATGTTATTCTGGTATAGCATGACTCCACCTAGAGGTTACATAGGGAAAGGCAGGAGAGGAAAAGCTATTTTTGCAGAGTTCAGATCTCAATTCTGTGGCAAAACTGAAAATGGATGCAACACCCTCCTGTAGAAAAGGTCTTCTGTTCTGTTTGACTGGACCTCATCTCCCTAGATGTGGGTGAGCAGGTCCTCTGGTTATTGCAGTGAGTCAGACGGGCCCCTCCACCTCCGCGTCATTGACACTGGCCGGCAGTGGCTTCCCAGGCCTCAGCCTGGAACTTTCTCTGGCTGCACTCAGAGGGGTCTCAGGCATTTCCGCGTCCAGCCATTACGTGCTGCACCACTGAGCTACAGCCCTTCCATGGAATACATGCTTATATCAAGCTTCCTCTTGCACACTTTTCTCTGAGGCTTTGAAAGGAAACTTTTTTGTGATAAACTTTCTTTGGGAACATGACTGAATAACGTTATAGATGGGCTTTATATATTCTGCTCATTCCTTACCCAGTCTTTGCAAAGAGTGAGCAGGAGCTCCATGGAATTTCTCCAAGCAGCACTGTGGCCGCTGGCTTCCATTTGACAGGGTAGGGATCTGCTTTTGCCCCTGGCCTGATTTCACCTAGTGGGGATCTAACTCAGATTGAAGTTACGGATTCTGACTTTAACAGTGCTGCAGGCCCTAGAAAATGCAGCCAACCAACTACACTTTGTCAGCCTTGAAGATGCAATACCCTTCTGAATACGCTGCTTTGTAGTGTGAGCTTTGAACAGCACTTGAGAAGGCACGAACTAGCTTTACACTGTGAATACTTGCAGGTCTGGTGAACGCAGTGACACAGAAATGAAAAGCAATATGTGTATGGCACAAACCTTTGTTAATATAATTGCATCGATTGAAACCTTTTAAAGGAGAATTAGCAAGGGAGCAGATGTCTGGTATTCCACAAACAAATGTTCCCATAATTAATTGATCATCAGTGCTTGACAAGGTTATTAAGACAGCTATTAATTGGATGATGAGCCCATATGCACCAGTCAAAACTAGCCGTCATTATATCTACCTGGAAACAGTAGTTCTGAGCACACACGCTTCCTCTTTTGAACTGCAGCGAGGCTTGGTTTGTCTGCATGTGTATCCGTGAGAATTTTGTTACAGGACTGAGCTCTAATTCTGATACATATTTGTGGTGAAACAAAGATGCATATGGCATTGCATAGCGGTGCACAAGGGGATAATAGCACCAGCAAGTTTGTACTCAGCCAGCCCACCTGGCTGTGACATTCAAACAAAAACAGCAAAAGGCAACCAAGGATGAAGGAGAAAGGCAACTACTGTGGAAGCAAAGTGTTGACAGACTGAGGCCATTTTGGCTTCTGGCTTTAAGGCACAGCTGGAGAAAATAGAATTTCTTCAGACTAGTTTTTTACAAGCCCAGGAGCACGTAAGCACATACAACCAGAACATGGCTACCTTCTTTGATGAACCGAATGGAAGCCATGCTTGTGTTCTAGGGTGACTCACCACCCTCCATATCCTGCCATAAGACACCATCATGCTGTTGTGTGTAAGCTTTTTGGGATGCTGTGCTAAGGCAAGGCTTAGGAGCAGGAAGTTTTGGCATATGGAAGCCGTGTGCTCCTGGTGGCCTGATGGGCCTGATAGACCACAGAGGGAATCTGCTTGGTTTCTCTTCCATACTTGGTCCATGACTGAACATGAACTGGGACTGACTGAAAGTGAACTATGGTAGCATCAGAGCCTATTTTCCATTTTATCAGCAACCACGATGAGCCTGTTGGGGCTATTTCCACATGGGGTTCCTCTGCAACCTGCATATGTGTGTGTGTGTGTGTGTGTGTGTGTGTGTGTGTGTGTGTGTGTGCGCGCGCGCGCGCGCCTTTTTCCTGCCAGCCTAGAACCTGGTCCTAGTTTTCTGTGGGAGAAAAGCCTGAGATACCACTACTAACAATGGTAAAAGATTTTGGGGTAGAGGAGGAATGGGAAATAAGTTCTTTAAGTGGGCCTCTGTTTGAAAACAAAAGCTGAGCTCAGGGAAAGCTCTGTTCCATCATGAAGATGAATCATATGGAACAAATTCAGTATAATAAATTAGCTGAAATCCTCCACTGAACTGCATAGAACAAAATAAAATACTATAACAAAATCCCATATGAAACTATTTATTCATTATCTTCCAACACAAATGTCATACACTTGAGACCAAATGGAATTTAAAATGAGGGCATTGGAGGCAGTAGATTTGAACAAACCAGGGGTTTGTTTTGTTTCTTGTCTCAGCTAGGTTGGAATTCAGGCATGCTCAGCTGGTAAGGCATAACTACCTGGTATCAGGTAAATATACCAGTTTACACTTGTCCTGGCTAAGAATGAGTAAACTTTGGCCAAATAGGGCTAATTTGGACAGATTCAAGCAATGCCAGACTCAAAACAGGACTTCAAAGCAAAGGTGTTTGCTTCTTTCTTTCTTTGCTTGATACCCTATCTTTCTAAGAAAGATATAGTTCTCACAATGGCTAACAATATTAATAACCAACAATTTAAATTAAAAGCTCAGTTATAACCATTAGGAATGTAAAAATCCAGCACTTTTGTGTTCGCCAGGAAGTGACCAAACTTGGGAACTCTAGCAGACCCCTCCCCTGTGCCAAATTATCTTGTGCAAAGTACACAAAGCTTGCCAGTTGTATGCAGAAGGCAAACTCCACTTGCACAGTGGGTGTGTAGGGAGTGGCATGCACGCAAGTCGGTCTTGCTTCCTGCTGGGCACCCACGCAAATAATGTTCAATACAAGGCAGGCTTAGGACAGCAGGGAAGCAGACTGGAGTCTGGGAGCCAACCTAAGGAAATCCAATGGATTCCCACCCTCAGACTGGATTCGTCACACCGTTTGCCAGTAACAATCATAGGACAAATTCCTGAAACACAGTTCAAAGCTCCAGAGAAAGCATAAAGACAGCATCCAACCCAACAGGCCAAAATGTACACCTGTCTTTACCTGTTGGCAGAATGAAAGCTCCAGGGGAGCCAATCTAGGCATCCCAAGGAGACGCTCTCCCACACCTCTGCAAATGTGCCTCTGGATGTGATGGTACTGAGAGAAGGACCCCCCCCGAAGATGTTAAAACCCAGGCTGGCCCATGTGGCCCGATCGCAACCTGAAGAGATCCCAACAAGTCCTTTTGCCCAGAAGTGAAGCCATTGTCACCTGGGAGGCAGGTGCTCCATCTAACTTGTTCTGCTTAATTGTCAGCATCTATCATTCTCACCAGCCAATGTTTCTGAAGTGTTTTCAAAGTTAAGTGCCCCCTGAGCCCCATTTATTGCAACAGGAAAAACATGTTTGACTCTCCCACTGAAATAGTATTGATTTAATTGATTATTCTTAAATCTCTTTGAAGTCCTTTGAGACAAGGTGGGATTAAATAAAACAATAATTTAAATTATCCTTAGGTTTGGGTGCAATGTGCCAATAACATGTAAACTGTGAGATTATGGATATATTGGAATTAATTCTTGTGAACAAAGCAGAACTTTTCCAGCTGTCGTCATGATTAAGATGATTGCTATGGATGTATAGGAGTGAGGGCTTGATTTGCCTGTTTCTCCACAAATGCAATCACAGTGAAGGATATGGTCCCTTGCATGTGGAGAAAGGGTATGGTATGTGAACCCAGTCTATGATCCAGGATTGTCTCACTGTGAAGAAATATCACTACCACTGGAATGATTGAGGGGGGCGGAATCTAGTAATAGCTAATTGAAGAACATTAAGATCCAGGATGTCCAAAGGCCCTCTTCAGAAAGACTGTAAGTGTGAGAAATGTTAGGCTCTTCTCATTCTGTTTTCCTAAGAATCATACCATGATGATTCCATGTTCACATGGAAAATGCCAGTTCAAGCATCTTGAACCATCCGAAAGATGATTCTGGAGAACTGTGCATAGGAGTGATTAAAGTAGTTCTCTTGAGGTAGAAGGAGCATCGATCTCCTCTGAATAGGGAAAGTCCCTTTCCCTTTCTTGGGTTCTCATTTTCAGCCTTGCTGAAGCTTTTCAGTGCCTAAGGTTACAAGTGTCAAAAGATTTCCTTCACAATAATCAGAGCATAGCTGCTCAAGAGAGCTCCAGGTGCAGCCAACCAGGCCTGCAAATTTGACAGAGCATTTTCAGCCATACATGCTTAATATTCACAGGAGTTTTTATGTAGCCAAAATAAATTATTGTACTAGTGCATAGAATAATACTGGGGTCAACAATAAAACCTACCTTTCCAGAATATGGCATATGAATTTGCTTGGCAAAGTTTTGCTTGTCTTCATTCATGTTTGTGACCAAAAATATTTCCCATGAAAAGACTGAAAGATGAAGGTCAGTCAGAAAGCTCATGTGCTGTCTCCTCTGGTGTGGGAAATCAGAGGGACACCATTTTTAAGAAGAGATATCAGATGGACACATGTCCCTGAGGGACCCCACTGCTCTGGAACCCACAGCAGCTAGACTCGCTGCTTTCTATGGGAGCCGGAATTTTCAGTACATCTCCATAATTCATCACAGTAGATCACCAAATAATTTGTAGAGTTTCTCTTGGACATAAACCTAACCTTTCCAATATCATTTGGACTACAGACTTAGGAATCTGAAAAACTGCACCTGAATATGGTGAACATAGATCTGCATAGATAAATTACCAACCAATTAATCACTGGATATGAGTTGGCCTTACCTTAAATTCCTCTAGGATTTTGTAACTTTTCCCGTGATATTCACAAAAGTTCTTCACTTCTTTGCACTCTGGGCAGCATCCATTGTGTTCTACTTTAGTACACTTTGGGTGGATTTTGGGGCATTCTGGCTGGTCACAAACAGGCCCATCCTCAGTGCAGACACAGGGACAGTTGGAGTGGCCTGGGAAGAAGCGCTCTCCCAATTTGTATACAAAACCACTGTCATCCACACAACCTTTCCCTCGATAGTCATCAAAGATCAGATTATTATCATTATTTGAGATCTGATCACCTTCATCAGCAGGATAGTCTTCATGGTTGAAGGCAGCTGGAGTGACCAAACTAGGAATGAGCAACAGAAATATGCAGGCTTCATGAATATGAAGAGCCATCCCCCTCCTCAACTTCTGTATATGGTCCTAATATCAGATATACACGGATGCTTCCATGAAGATGCAGGGTGGTGGGCTGAAAACAAATATTTCAAATAGGACAGTTTGAAAAGTTTGAAATATTTTCTTAAAGGGCATCTATTTTAGTGTCTACACTTTCCTGAGACATGCAGCTGTCAAGCAGTAACTCATTAGACATACATTTTTTCCCTAACAGTTCTTAAGAGAGCAAAGTGAGACTGGCTTATCAGCACCTCCCCAACATAAGAATTATAAGATCATATGGAAAATGCAGGGATAACCTGGAAAATTACCCAGTTAAACATGGATCTGTCTGCTACCAGGGACTGGTCATTCATCTGTCTTCATCTGGATAGCATGCGCAATGTACACCTCAGTAGTGCAATTCAATAGTTAAATTGAACAATGTTCACAGCAGCTGAATGAAAGGTGCAAAGGTGTGCATTGCCAATCTCATATGGATAATGATCCATGTGCCCTCAGCTTTGATCCAGATGATGGCTACATTATCCTAACTAGAACATTCTAAGGGAATGTTATTTTAAATTGGATTGGACAATATGCCTATTGCCCCAGTAAGGTGAAAACTGATGCTTCTTGGCATTAGTTGAAGGCCTATGTGATGAACATGGTAATCACATTATGCATACATTCAGCTGTTGCATAATTACGTTGCATACTCAAAAATGTTTATATCTGGATCGCATGCACATTTATGATTTTATTCCCTTTCCTTTTTACTTGTTTTGCTAAATGGTTGTGAGTATGGGTCATGTGGAGGCATACAAGCGCCATAAAAACTAAGTAACGACTGAACGAACGAACAAACGAACTAAATCAACTCCCATGTGAATGAGTCTTTAAAGACTAGGACTTGAACCAAAGATCACCACTATTTCTATGAAACTACTAGGATCACAACCCACTATTGCTTGCAACACAGCTCAACTGTCTAATTAAAATCAAGATGCAGATGTGTCAGATGTTTCATGGAAAACATCAGATTAAAAGAGAAGACATTTAAGAAATGCAGGTCTGAAGAAAACGCTGTACTGATTCTCAGGTACAGTGAACATTGCTTTAGTTGTGTTAATATTCTGGCAGAAATTTTAATGATGTGTACTCTGGTCTATTGTTAGGGTAGGTTCATCTTGGTTTTCCCCACAGCAGGTAGCCTCCATTGTGCTCTACCGGGGCCTGTCATCACTGTGGTGTGCATGTGTGTGACGCTGCCTTTAAGTGCTTATGTTCACACTTGAGCGTAGTAGCTAATTATTACTTTATTTTACATTTCCCCTGCTTTTTCTTGTAGGCTTAGGATAACTAATGGCTTTTCAAAAATACATGAATATGAAGACTAATCACACAGAACTGTCCCAGCAGGCCATGCCAACTCAGTACCCCGTATGCCTCCATTGATGTACAGAGGACCCATAGCATCCAGAAAGGCATCAGTTGCCTGGTTTGAAAATTAAGCCTTGCCCTTCCTTCAGACATGACTTCTGTTTTTCTGCTTCACTATTGGCTGTTGCCAAGTCCACAGCACCTTCACCAGACTGTACAGGCATAGCCCTGTATCATTCCTCTAATCCAATGCTAGAAGGAACCAGGTAGCAGGGCATGTTCTGTCCTCTTTTGTGGAAATGAATGGGAAATGGGTAATTCTAAAACTGTTTATAATGAAACATTCTGGGAACTGAAAGCATATCAGTTCCTTGAAACTAAACTATTGCCTTGCTTCCTTTTTTACTCTTGGACCAACTCTGTAAGTGAGCTGCTTTAAACTATTATGGGGTTTTCAGTCATAATAAACTACGCCATGCTCATATAGATGTATACACGGAGTATGTGTATCATTTTCATTCACCTACTTAGACACATTTGTACATTCAATGTTTTTGTTCTAAAAAAATCCCTGCCAAACAAGAATGACTCAGGGAAAAAGCAAGCACTGAATCTTGTAGAACAAACTAAATGATTGTGTCAAGAAAACAGTTTTACAGTGCTTCTGCAGAGAAAGAGAGTGAGAGAGAGAGAGAGAGAGAGATTGAATGCTCAGAATGTCTCATTTCATGATGTGCAGAATGCATTTTTACCCAAAGGTGCATTCATATTAGTTCATTTATGTGTGTTGCACAATCATTTAGCATGCCTTTCAGAAGTGAATCACTTGCATGCTACAGGTAGGCTTAAGTCTGCCATACTTAAAGCTGTGGAAACTTTAGAAAACAAGCAAATTTCAAAGGAGTAATTTATAAAAGGGAGATTGGGGATCAATCGGTTTAATAAAAATCAAACCCAAAAATCAGGCATTTGGATTAAGAGGAAAAAGAAAGGATTAACACTGCTAATCGGATTTTGCTGTGTTTGATCATCTTAAAAATTTTACTACAACTTCATCAACCTACATTTTGCTAAAGGTAAGAGAAATAGAATAGAATGGGGATTTTGTCCGTTGGTTAAAAATTCAACAAGTCAACAGACTCTGGAAAGCTATCACTATACAATCCAACTTGATTTCATTTTTTCTAATCAAAGGAGATTTAAAGCTAGTATGAAACTCTTGGGAAGTCTATATGCATCCTCTGGAAAATCATAACTTACCTACTCAGGTGAAAATTGGCAAGGATCACAGGCCACCATGAATGAATACTTCAACAACGTGTTAGAAACAGCAATTCTTCTTAATTACATTTTCATGGGAGAATCATGGAAAATCCCTTCCCCCAGTGCCTCCCATTTCGTAGAAGCAACCCAGCAGATGCACCATGAAACTGAAGCTTTAACCCCGTGTTCAGAATTCAAAGCAAGCCACCATAGAGGGGTCCAGAGGTGAGGCTGCCAGTACAAAACCACACTCCAAAAGCATAATCATTGTTGCTTGCTCGCTCTTTATCCTCTTATATCCTTGGCTGCAATCTCCAATTCCACCCCAAAAGCCCACCAGATCGCTTCCCTCTGAATAGCTGCAAAAAGGCACGCAAGGGTGGAGAATGTGCTATGCTTCCAATTCCAGGAGCAGCAACAGCGTGCCGGAGCTCAGAGCCAACCCAGCCTGAAATGCAGTCGGCAGCACCATTGTGCCTGCTGCGTTTTAGAAGCTCTTCCCAGACGAGCGGTCGGGAATGCGTGGATCTCAAGCACGGCAGCAACTTTCAGCCCGATCCAGCACCCTGGGCAGCAGCGGCAGCGGCAGCGGCAGCAGCAGCAGCTCGGCGGCTGCCTCTCCGGAGCGCATTCTGCCGAGCAGCTGGAAGCCTTCAGCACCACGGACAGTAGTCAGCGACTCGCATTGTGCATCATGCAGGCGGAACGTGCGGCTCCTCCGGGCGAAGAAAACAAATCCTGTGCAGCTATCCAGGGAGTCCACATTCACCCTTGGACACCTTCCCTAGGCAGAAGGTATTTTCTAAAATGCCCATAAAAATACTTTGCACTTGGCAACTCCCTTTCCCTTAGAAAAAAGGAAAGAAATCTGCCGATTTCAAGACACCAGTTTCAGACAGACTGCAGGGCTACGTTCCAGGAAGTGGCAGTGGGTAGATGGAAGCTCTCTGCAGTTACTGAATGATGAGGCAAGAGTAACTGTCAGGGCATTGGTCTGAAACTTGTTCATTCTTGCTTTGCTGTGATTCAGAATAATCTTCAGATAGACACTACATTCAAGTGGTGGGTGACGTGTGTTTTAAGTTCACCCCCTCCCCAAATGTAGATCTATTCAATACTAGAAAAAGTACAATATATTACTATTTCATAAAAGTAGGTTTTCTCTTGTGGCTTGTGCTGAAGTCCCTTGAAAGGAGGGGGGCACATTTCCCTTGCAATTCATCTCCTCTGTCATTAGGCGTCATTGTAAAGCTATTTCTCCAGGAAAATGCCAAATGATGGCCTTTTAAATGTATTCTTTATAGTCAAATAAACAGGCATAAAAGCAAAAAGCTGAGAAATCTTTTTATTAGAAACTTTGTATTTCACCCCATCACTTCAGGCATTAGTGTCAAATGCATTTTAAGGTACCTCTATTGCTAGGAGGTCCTTGGAGTGTTTTGATGTGATTTCACTAAATGGCAGGCAAGCATCTCAGTTCCAGATTCGAACAGTGCCATCAGAGCCCCCAGAAATCAGATGTTCTGCCTTGTGATCAAATACAACACTTTGGACTTCATCTTCATGGCCCAACAAGCTGGAAAGATGCCCCGACTTGAGTTCTAAAGTCTTCACAGTGCCATCATTGCTTGCAAGAGCTACAATACGACCTGTAATGTAAAGCAAAGAGATCAGAGGTCTAGAAGACACAGAAGCAACTTAGCAGCTCCACACCTGAGACTGTAGACTCTCACATCCTGTTTATTCATGTTCAGCGTGCAACTGTGACTGCAGATAATCATGCACTTTCACAAAAAAGTGGGGAGGGGTAAGTCAGACTGATATTAAAAGCGATTAGATTTTTTGAGTGATTAAATGGACTACCATTCAATTAAATAAAACTCCTGTTGGAACTATCATTTAATGTAAGACTCAAATATATTTATTTCAATAACTTTGTTTCAGTCTGTTTATACCCTATGCTAAGGAACCAAAATTATATATGAAAAACTGAAATTATTGTATATTAACTATCCAAATCAGTACAACTGCATAATTTTTGTATAAATCTATTCAACAGGATACCATATGCGGAAAGACTTAACATTTTGCAGGATAGTTTTGCCACAGAAATATGTATAAATAAGATTGGAATTGTTACAGAAGATGCAAGAAGACCATGAGGACAGAGCGAATTGCTATGTATAGTAAGCAAATTCTGCACCTAAACAGAAGAGAAACACTTTAACCATTCAATCCCTTGGAGGAAGGTGCTGTGCAGTTCATGCCCACAGAGGCCTGTTTCCTGCATCTTCATGCAGAGCAGGGGTCTCAAACTCGCGGCCCACGGGCCAATTGCCGGGGCACGGGGGAGGGGCCCTGTGGCCTTCAAAGCACCGGCAGCGCCC